TCAAGGATCAAAAGTAACCTTTACAACTCTCTAGTTTCTCACTTAGCTAAACTAGAACCAAAACCCCTTTATAAAGGATAAGAAATGTATAAACAAAATACCTCTCTAGGTTGGTGTTTACAAAGATTTAGCTCACAAAAACAAAACCTAAGGGTATAAAATTAAGCTTAAAACAAAAATATTTACAAGAGAAAGAAAATAAGGATTGAAATTGTTTTCTCTTGTGTATGAATGCTTGGATAGGTGTTGGTCTACTTCTTCAAGTGTCTTTGGCGTGTTTTTATACGTTGAAATGAGTTACTAGTCGTTGGGTATGATTTGAAGTCGTTGAGAGTTGAACATTTTGCAATTATGCGTAGGGGTTTCGAAACTTTAAAGGGAGTTTCGAAACCTTCATTTAAAATTTTGATCGTTTGAATCGACCAGATTTACATACTGCCTTACTGCTTGAAGGGGTTTCGAAATCGCTTGAAGGGGTTTCGAAACCAACCCCAAAATTGAATTTTTCACATTTTTAAAAACTTAAAAACTTTGAATTGTTTTTGCAATGTTTGAACAAATTCAATTTGGTCCAAAAACATTTTTTCCCTCATTTGTTATATCAAAATATTAGTTCTACAGACCGTGATCGCAACCAAAGTCAACCCGAGCAAAAAGAGAAAAGCAGAGGACCGGAGTAAAAGTAAAATCAACGATAATATTTACTAGTGAGGCAAAGGTGAGTGCAATTTATTTATTTTAAATATTTTGATCGAGGATGACTTGCTATAATTCAACCTCGTATTATTTTAAAATATGAATTTTAAAGTATGCCTTACTTTAAATTATGGAATATTTCCATGTTTATTATAGTTTAGTATTCATGTACATTATATGTGTTAGTTATTTTATTAGTTCTATTTTAAAATAGTTTGTAATAGTAAACAAAGATAATTTATTTTGGGTATTTTTACTTAAAGTTAAATTTATGCATGAATACTACATATATGTTTTATAGTTTAAAAATGGCTTTCAAATTAAGCAGCATTTAGACAGTTTTGAATAGTTTAGGAAACAACACTAAATTGCCTAATCACTGGTTAAAATCAGATTTGTTTTAAATGATTAAATATTATTTTATGATTTTATGTGATTGCTAGAATGTTTTAAAATTGAAATAGGAATGTTTTAAAATTAAACAAAATTTTAAGCATTTATATTTAACGAATATCTGTAAAGTTAATATAATTGAGACGTATATGAATTATGGGTGTTACACTAACTCTCCTAAAATCTTCAGTCCAGCTGAATTTTCAGCAACAATAATGGCATCCAATTTCACACTTTCCAAGAGAACCAAGGCTGCACATTAGTAAGTGTATATTGCAGGACCCTTTCATAACAAAGAAAATAGAGTGCCGTTTAAAGAGAAAACATACCATGGGATAGAAGAAGCAAAGAATCTCCCTCAGAGTCTCCGGTATGCAGAAATAGTTTCGTCCGGTAATGACTATTTGTACCGTAAAAATCGGATATCGCCATTGAAATGCAGCTATCTACAATTTTTCCCACCCAGGATTGCGTCTCAACAATGAACCCGACATGAACACTTATCTCTTCATAGTACTAGCACTGATACCATTAACATTGGCTGACAATGGTTTTAGAAGACTAAGCAAAAATTTAACTAAACCCAAGGTCCAACTCGTCTTCCTCGCGAAATCCATGGATCCAAAAACCAAACTTTAGTTTTCTTTTGATTAAACGTGAAAAGGGAATAAATACAATTGGTAATTACCCTATAGCTCATGGTTTCAGTATTATTGTTCTTTTTTAGAATCATATATGAATCTTGAGGTTGAAGGATATTTGCTTTTGGTTGACCGATAAATTTGAACCACATATAAGTGGAACAGGAAATTCCCGAAGGTAATGCTTTCAGTGTCAACTCATAGTTCATGTGATAGATTTTCCAGGAACCAAGAAAGATGGAGGCTAACAAATCAAAGAGGCTCAACGACTTTGGTACCTAAACTTTAAATTATTCTATATCAACCCTTAAAGTATGAACCTATTTTAACTTGGTCTCTAAACTTTAAAACATTAAAATGTATCAATTATCAAACTATCAGTATCATTCTATTTTGATCCTTTTGTTAACGTATGGTTAACTCTACTAGTTTTTAATAAGTATCATTCTAGGTTCTGAGAATTAAACTTATGACCTAAAATTTAATATGTTTTTGAAGGTCATGAGATTTTTTTAGAAGGTCGTGGGTTCAATTCTCAAGACCTTAAAAAATAAATTAACTTATTTTAACCATTACAGATAATGGCACGTTGATAGAATGATCAAAATATATTAATATTGATAGTTTAAGGACTAACATAGAATGTCTTAAAGTATATAGAGTAATTTAGAATGTGAGTAATAGTTTGAGAGAATGTTTTAAAGTTTAGGGACTATTTTAGAATATGGGTCATAGTTTATAGGCATCCTTCACAATTATATCTTTTATAATAAGCAAAAGTTTATTAATTCAAAATTTATGGAATATAGTTTTGTGTAATGTTTGAATGGTCAATTTATATGTCCTTTGTCGCAGAATTACTATTCTCTACAGCTTTTTAGAATTACCATATACTCTGTATATTTTCTTTTTACATGTCCATGAATACATGAGATTTATTAGTTGACCAGTTCATTAAACTTGGCCCGATCGCCAGTGCGACCAGTTTATCGAATAAATAGGACATCAAATTCACCGAAGCAGCGGCTACTCTTTCAGAGTCGTACTTCATCTGATAGACATGGAAACACGACCGACGCATGATTATGTTAGGGGGAGAATTTTTAAAATATTAGAGAGGAACGACGTCGGCATCACACGGTGTATGTTAGCTGGCGAGGCTATGCATGCTGTTGTTTTCAGTGTGGTCTTCGGTTTTCGGATCCATCTTCCTAACCATATCCATGGCGTATGTGATCCAAATCAAGGTGGAGGCTCCCTTGTCGGAGAGTTCATGCATGGAGAGCAACCGAAGCACTGATAGCCATTATGCTTCTTACTCTAGCTATATGCAGGGCCGGCCCAATACATGTGCCAGATGGACGACGGCCTAGGACAGCATGTAGGGCCGGGGCATCAGGTTGGACCATTAGAAAAGTGAAGTTGTTTTGCAGGTGATGGCTCTTGAGTGGATTTGTTGGAGTCTACACTGAGGTAAAAAAAATTTAGATACGTGTTCTATTTTTTCTTTTTGAAGCTGTAACTTATTTTTGGATGATTATTTATTGTTAAGGTGTTTCGCCGAAGTTCTCTTTATCTGATTTTAACTGATTTTTTTTTAAAAAAAAACATAATCGTTAGGTTTTCGTTGGAGTTTTTGGACAAAATGAATTAATGGGTATTCTTTGGATGATGTTACTAGCCTGAAAAAAAGTTGCATTATTTTTCTTTGGGTGAGAAGTATTGAGATTACACCAAGCTGGGTTATTTGGGTGATGGGTTTTTTCTTTTAGAATATTCGAAAGCATACCTCTTTTGTTTTCTTATTTACATCAATGACTTTGATTTCTATTTGCATTTTTTATTCAGGGAAGTTAAGGTAAAATAGAAATGGGTATTCTTGGATGATGTAATTTTAGTTGTAGAAAAAACTTAAAACTTAGGTATAAAATGTATTAAGTTCTCATTTCATCTCGAATCAAAGCTTTATGAGTTTAGTTCACTTTGTTTAACAAATCTAGTGCTTATAGTTTGATTGTTTGAATTTTGATTGTGTAGTGACAAACTTAGTTTGATGGAAAAAAAAACAGTGGCTAAATATTTTTGTTCAAGACATTTTTTAGAGTGATTCATTCTGATTATTTTGATTTCATCATTAATTTTCCATACCAGTTGATTGTGAGAAAGAACAAGTCAACAACATAAACTTCGGTCACCGGTCAGGTTGTATCTTTTCTTGCTAATATATCTGTTTTATTATTTACTTAATACTATATTTGTTTTATTGATTACTTTTAAATATGTTACCTCAAAAACAACCATCGGGTGCCCAAAATAGAAAACGAAAAAAACAAGAACAAGAAATACGATACAAGTATAGGGGCATAAATTATTATCTCGCTCAGGACATTAAAATTCATTGGACCGGCCCTGGCTATATGCGTCCCCTTTATGATGAATGCCATAATCACCTCCATCAGGAAAGTTTAAAAAAAAATAAGAGTGATCAACAGTAAACAATGATGATTATGATCACGCTGGTAGTATAATATAACATTGTTCGGGATGCAGGATTTTATCCCATGATATAATCAACAATAAACAATTGATATTCTTATCACTTCAATATAATTCTAGTGAAGATAATGATTAAACAATTTAATTGCAGAACTAATGTGAATCATGACTCCTATACAACGACAAGTGAATCACAGAAATCTCGAGTTACAGTTTGCAACGAAGTTAAAGCCTGAGCCATCACGACCCCTATACAACGGAAAGGCCGAAAGACCTTTTTCTATTGATTGTAAAATGTTTTTAATTTGACTTCCCATGCGTATCAAATAAAATTATATATTATAATCATTTTTATTTGATTTTGGCTCATTGACTATAATATGATTTCGTGACGAGCTTAATTACAGTAATACTCGAGTAAATTTATTAAAACGTAAAATTAAGCTTTTCACTTCTATATTATTATATTCGAAAACAGTATTCGCCATTCAATATTCCGATTAATTCATGCAAGTAAATTTAAGAGCGTTTCACAAATTAAACCTGTCAATCAAGAGAATTTAACTAAATATAGTATATCTGATAGCGCGTAGTTATGTACATGATTCACTTCAAGATAAAAATTAGAAGGAAGATATACCTAGTAAAAAGGTTAAAGTGGAGACTAAGAGTTTCTAAACTAAACTTTAGTTTTAACTAAATTTAAAAAAAGAAGGTAATAATAATAATAAGAGATAATAAAAAGAACCTAGATACAAGTCACTATTTGGTACGTGGATAGCATGTCAAAGATATACATCTACGGAAGTGCCAATTGCTTTGACTCGATTTCCGTTACACTTCGAACGATATCATTGATGTTTCTTGATAGGTGATTGGAATGCTCCTCCATTTCTCTTAATACCATATCAAGCTGCTCTTGAATTGCTGCAGAGCGCTTTCGCTCTCGTTGTAACTCGGCTGTTAGTTCTCGAATCTTTACATCTTTCTCATCCTAGAATGTACATATTGTAAGGAAGAGATATTACAAAAGAAGACTGGTATGGTTCACTATGTCAATGAATCATTAATATTTTAAGGCAATCAAATGGAAACATAGAGGAGGCTGGACCAGCTGGTCTGACCATTTCATGTCTCAAGTCTGAGCTAGTGTACATACCGGCACACAGATATTTGGAATGAACCAACTTATATCAATCAGCAAGAAAATTAGCACATCACTCGAGCAATTCGAGTTAATCAAACTATATACAGGTTTTACATGTTAAGACTCGAAGCTGTAGAAGATGATTTCTAGCTCATCTTTATGCATTGAGAAAACAAATATACAAGATAAAACTACAAGAACATAGCAAGTGACTTCAAGCTACGATAAGCAGCTCAAGGTCAGGTTTAGGTAAATGACTACAGCTCAAAACTCCTATCTTCCCACTGTAATAACAAATGAAGGGAACCCAGGCTCAAGCAAGTTGTGCAATAATGAAATCTCCCACAATGAGTCCATTAGATAAGGAAGCTTTTAGATCCGTAGGGTTATTGAAATTCAAGCTCAATTTTTAACTGTAAGTCTTATTCCTAAACAAACACAAATTGACCAACACTAATATTGTAATCCAGAAACATAACTCATAAAGCAGAGCTCCCTGATACTTTTCAGACACATAGCTACCATTTAGCTCTAAACATTCCATGTTCTTCATATAGTGCTTTAAAACTTCTTTCTAGTTCTGGATAATGGAACAGTATCTTTAGGTACGTCCTAAAAGGTCTAGTTCTAATCTTGAAAAACTTGGTGATATGTGTGTACTACAGCTCTTCTGAAGTTTAACCCGAATGGGTTCTAAACCATTCCTTGATCAAGCTACACATTTACCTTAATGAGCTTAAACCTCAAGGAGTTTTCACCATGCCATCTCACTCCTACAAACATGAATTGGCAAATTTTGAAGTCGGTCAACTGTCAGACTCGTACTTCTTCCAACTTTTACGAAGACATGAAAAGACCAACGGTAATGTTCCAAAACTTTAAATTGGAGTATAATTGACATATAGGCATACGGGTCACTCTTTCCATAACGAGTACTTCCTCCCCACTGAAACATGGTTCTATTTGTAAGAATCAATAATGCTGTTTCATTGCCCATCAGAGTATTTGTAGCTTGATTATCAAAAGTAATGGAATTATTTATCAGCTAATGTTCAATTCTACTGAGTTTATTTCTCCTGAAAAAAGAGTACATTTGCATTCACCAACAATGGTTCAATTTTACACTGCTATGAAAATCAACCCTTAATCTCAGAGTAAATTTATACCCAGTTAATTCCATTCACAATGCACTTCGCAAAGCAAGTTCTTTCAGGAGAAAAAGGAAAAAAGAAACATACCGGCGTTTGCGACAAAAGCATGCTTCTCCGACCATTGATAGGAATAGGAACAAGCTGATGATTATGTTCCTTAACAAACCTCGTAACCACCCATTTCCCTGATTTTTCTTTCTTTACCACGATCATTGCTTTACAGCCTTCTCTCGTAATGGCTCTAGGCTTCCGATTTTCACTTCTACGAGGTCTCAGCTTTCGAAAACCTTCTTTGTTACAAACCAGTCGTCGCCAAACGACTTTACCATCACGCATTGAGCGGCGAAACGCATCCACACGCATTATGAATCCCGCACGTGTGGCGTAGGCATCGTAGAACACTTTGGCTGCTTCTTCAGATTCGAATTTCATTCCTACATACGGTTCCTCATCGGGAGTTCCTCCTGTTGTAACAAACTCTTCTCCGTTTGAATTATGTGTCGCTTCAGTTTCAGCTTCTTCAACGAAAGGATTTTCATCCACTGATGAGTTTTAAAAAAAAATTAAAAAAAAAATTATCAGATGCTTAATTCTAAGGTTTTTAATTAAATTTCACTTACTGGATTGAAGATCCATGTTAGAATCCAGAGCAGATAAGTACGAAGAGAAGAACTTCAGATTTGAACTTCAAAAGGGCAGAGGTTTTGGTTTTGAAGTGAAAGTACAAAAGGGAAGATTTGAGTTCAAGAGGATTGGATTCGGTGCGGAGAGCAAGTGACTCGGAAGCTATGGACTCTGGAGAGATTCTGCACTAAAATTGTTAGGTATTTTGCCTTTATAGGTACTTTTAAAAAATTAATAAAGATCATTATTATATCAAAATGAGCATTTATTTGACTTCGTTAATCAAATAATCTAAGCGATTTTTTATTAATCTAAATAATTATAAAATAATATTTATTCTAAATACTTTTAATTATTTGATAATAAATACTTAATTAATTTATTGTAATCGTAGTGTTCGAATTCGTGATATCTAAAAATAATGTTTAGTTTAAGCATTAAAATCAGTTTATTTCGTGCAATCTTGATAATTTTTTTTGAAAAAAAAATAAGATAATAAGTATATGTTAAGTCTCTGTATTTACTAAACTATCTTAAAACAGAAAATTCATTTAATTCACTTTGTATATATATGTATCTATAAATTTGATTTTTATTTTAAGTTAATTTTTAATTTTTGAATATTTCAATCTCATTTTAAATCAAAAAATTTATTTTAAATTGATCATGATTTTTTATATTATAATTATATCTCTAACTATAATCCTTATTTTAAATTGATTCCTAAACGTTGGATAATTTAATTTTATACCTAAATTATCAGTATTTGCTAATTATGTCCTCAAACTATTAAAAATTTATTAACTTTCAAGTAAACACTTATTATTATGTAATAATATAATATGACAAATGATAATTAATATTGTATCCAGTGTCGTATCTGGGCACCTCCCCGGACCCAAAATTTTTATAATATTATAGGAGCCAATTATTTGAAATATTGTTATTATGGTTTCATTTTTTCTTAATATTTATTATTAGGATTTTTTAATATTTATTAGTGGTCTATTGTTATAATTTATTTTTTAATATTTGTATAAGTGTCTAATTTTTTGCCAATATTTTTTTCTACATTTGTTATTAAATGCCCAATTTTTTCATACTATTATCAGTGGTCCAATTTTTTCAATATTTGTTATTATTGGTATACTTTTAAAATTTTTTTTTTAATATTTATTTGTTGTTACGAATCTAATTTTTCGTTTTTATTGGAGGTTCAATTTTTTAATATTTATTATATGAGCATACTCTTAATTTTTTTTAATATTTATTATCAGGGAATCATTTTTTCAATACTTATATTATGAAGCGACCCTTAATTTTTTTTCAACACTTATTATTATGAACAATTACTTAAATAACTGTAATGTAACCACAACAATGATTGTTATGCAGTAGTAACATTTTTTAGTTCATCCGGACCACCAAAATCTCATAAACGGGCTTGATTGTATTTATACTCAAAATCATTTAGAATAAAACTGAAAGGTTCTTTTTTTTATTTTTATTCTCTCAAATTATTGTAGTTCTTTCTATGTTTCAAAGTTAGATCGTTGTTATTTAACCTTAAAAATTAAGCATTGTTTTTGCCTCATCATGTTATTACATATGCACAACAATATTTACATGGTTGTTAACATTGTTTCAACAATTTATTAACGGTAAACATGATTAGCTACACTAGTAGTTAAGGATAGAATTAAAATGTTCAAGCGTTTGGTGACCAACTTAGAATGAGAACATAATTTGTTGATGAAATTAGAATATTTAAAAATTTGGGATGAAATTCAAATATTTAAAAGTTAAAATCAATTTAAAAATAATCCATTATCTGAGGATGTGTAGTGCAGTTAATTCCCCTCCCTAGTATTAACTTATCTCAAGGCAAAACTCCACCACCTTTCATCATCTGCTTGAGCTCCATGAAATTAATCTTTCCATCTCCATCTCTGTCCACTTTGTTATCATCTTCTTGTATTCCTCAGTAGTTCTTTTTCGCTTTAACCCTAACGATGATAAAACGACATCAACTACTCGAATGTGATGAATCCATCTCTGTTTCGATCAAAGACGTTAAATGCTTCCATCATGTCTTCTTCTTCATTTTGTTCATTCGCTATCGTTTGATACAGTATACCAAATTCATCAATATCCACGAAAACCATCTTCATTCACATCGATACTTTCGATGATTTGACTTAATTCTCTATCAGAATGAATAATAAACCCAATTTCTGTAGTGAATCATTGAGCTTTCCTTTGTGATCTTGCCATCTCTGTTTCTATCAAGCATTTGAAACACCCGACGAAGCTCAACCAGATCTATTTTATTCATAGAAGAACAAAAGAAATAGAACCCTTACCAAAGTGCAAATTTGCTTGAAATGATGGTCCAAAATGAACAAATGAAAAATCAGTGGTTGACAAATCATGAAAATGATGAAAAATATGGAGAATTAAGTGTTGAGTGCTGTTTGCAGATGCTAAGTGAAATGTGGGGAGAAGGGTTTTTAAGCAAGGCACAATTAAATCATGGCTATGTAAAAACAACGCGATAAGAGGATATTTTGGATCGATTTTCGTTGGTATGTTATTGCTTTAGTTAGATTTTGGTATGTTGTTGTTTCGTTAATTGTTAATTTTTCTTCTTTAATTTTTTTGGGTATAATACACAAATGATCCCTTAATTACGGGTATTGCTTTGTTAAATTTTCTAACTATTAACAATTATATAATAATCACTCAATTTCTTGAGCAGACATTGGTTGATTGAGTCAGGAAGGTGAAGTTCGCGAGAATAGCAATGTTAATAGTAATCTGTGTAGCGACTGGGAACTTGTATAACAGTTGTTGTTTCGCTGTTCAATTGATTAGTTTGTATTTACTGTTATGATCGGGTTATTTGGTGTTCTTATTTTATTGGTAGTTTGCTACCTTTCTGCATAAATAAATTATACTGCATTAAGACTACTAATGAATGGAGGTGGAGGCGTTAAGTACTTGGAGAATTCAAAATAAAATTTATTTTAAAATTTTTCTTTCATTTAATAATGAAAGCTCAAATACAAAATGTATCTTTTGGTGCTTAAATCTAAAGAATTGTCATTAGATTTAAGGACGATTTTTTTTATAAATTTGAGGCGAGTACATGAGTTCAAAAATTTTAAATTATTTGACAATAAATACTCATATCTTTGAAATATTAAATGATTGAACTCAAAATCTTAAGAAATAACAATATATTTCTTATTCACTAATGTTTAATTCGTGTTTAAAGATAAATTTGTTAACAATTTAATTGTTAATTTCTCAATTTCGTTCCATGATTTTAATTTTTTTTAAACTATATATATAAGATAAATTACAAATTTTCTCTCTCTTCTGTATCGTTTATTATATTTTTAATTTTTTTCAATTTAATCATTAAATTTTATATATTACTTTTTTTGTCTCTACTATTTGAATTTTTTTATTTGATATATACATTTGTTTTTAAGGTTAAAAAACGGGTGTTAAGATTTAATTGAAACTTTAAAAACAAAACTTAATAACAAAATAAGTGTTCAAATTATACCCAAAATCTTAAATAGATGTTTAAACTATTTAATGTAACCTATTTCGGTACTCCATCGTAATGTGTCTATCTTATAAAATAAAAAATATTATTAAATAAACCCACAAAACCTTTTCTTCCACATGTGCCCCCTTTTCCCTCCCCTGCTCCCCTCCACTTCTCCCTCTCCATGGCCAAAGGCCAAACGACCACCTGCTGCTATAGTGAATAAACAACCAATTATTGCCATCGAATTTGAAGTATTGAGTGTTTGGGATTTAAAGAATTGAGTATTTTAGGTTTTGAAATAATAGTAAAAGTTGTGATCGGTCATTAGATGGTCAACGAAATATGAGTCGTCAACGAATGATCGTCAGAAATGATTATCGAAATAAATGGGATTAGAATAAGTAATCTTAAGAGTTTGAGGTTTTATTGATATTTTTTTTAAAATGGGTCTTTTTTAAAAATAAATTATTTTTAATTTTTAATTTTAAAAAATAAATTTCTAAAATTACCGTGTTATAATTTAACGAAAAAATTAATGTCGTTAACGATCGAAGCTCTATTTGGGTAATTTGGCATTAGGGTTCGTTTATTTCACTAAAAAAGTTTTCCGGAAAATGTTTTCTGTAAAATGAATTACATTTTCACTAGTTAAACCTTTTTTTCCGAAAAATATATTTCAGAAAATGTTTTTCGAAAAATTAAAATGTCTGGAAGATGTTTAAACCATTTTTTTCACTAGTTGGTGAATTTTTTAAAAATTATTTATTATAAATATTAAATACAATAAATATTATTTATCATAAATTTAATATTATTATTTTTAAAGTATTAAAATAATTTATTTATTATTAAATATTTTTTATAATTTTATTAATAAAAATATTAATATTGGTATATTTTATTAAAATAAAAATGTTATAAATTATATTAATTATTAATTAAATTAAAAGTGTTATACTTTATTTTAAAAATATTAATTAGTATATTTTAAATATCTTTATTAATATATTATTAGATTATTATATTAATATTAAAATATATAAATAATATTTTTCATTATTAATAATTTAATAATATTATTTTTATGAAATTAATAAATAATAATATAAATTTTATTAATAATATTATATATTATTAAATAAAAATAAAAATATAATATCTTATATTATATTATAATATAATTGATTATTTTATTAATATTAAAATATTATATTATATATTAGAAATATTAATAAATAATTTTAAATGTTTTAATAATTAATATTTTGATTAAAATAATATAAAATATTATTAAATTTATAAAATAAAATTATTTTGAATATTTATTCTTTAAATTAAAAAGTTTGAAAAATAAATTACTGAAATTAGACGTTTAAAAAGATAAAAAGAAAATTTTATTTACCAATAAAATATTTTATGTTAACCAATCATTTTTTTAATCCAAATACTGGAAATGAAGAAAATATTTTTCGTAAAATATTTTACGTGATAAAAACGGACCCTTATTTTAATATTAAACCTAAAAACAATGAAAGGGGGGGGAGGAGTGAGAAATGTATTCCAACGATATGCCAGAGATGATCAGTAAAGAAGGA